AAGGGAAGGGAAGGGGAGGGGTGGAGTGTGTGAGAGAGTAAAATAGTGCGAGACGGACAACAACGCGCTTTTCTATTACTGTCTGTCTGGAGTTTCTCTCTTTATTTTATTATTTCATGCAGGAAGAGGTTGCCCCTCATTATATACATAATATTTCACTCTCCCTCCCCCCCCCCTTTTTTATTACTTAATTATTCCTTGTATATATAAAAGAAACAACTTCCTTATCAATACTTCCACACTTGAACATTTTGTTACTTCTTAATCTCTTCTTAACTTTTACTCTTTGTCTATATATTTCACAATTGAAAAGTATAACATACTAAACCCCCTTTCCCTCCTCCCTCGCTTAATTAGTTGCAAAAATACAAAATGGTTCCACCAACTAATTCAAGCACTACTAATGATATGATTACTGAGGAACCTACCTCACCTCATCAAATTCCAAGATTGACTAGAAGACTTACCGGGTTTTTACCTCAAGAAATTAAGGCCATTGACGCTACAATTCCTTTGAAATCTAGATCTTTATGGAATAAACACCAAGTCAAAAAGTTTGAAAATGCTGACCAATTCGAAGGTAGATTTATTGATCATGTTGAAACTACTTTAGCTAGATCTTTATACAATTGTGATGATTTAGCTGCATACGAAGCCACTTCAATGGCTGTTCGTGATAATTTAACTATTGATTGGAATAAAACTCAACAAAAATTTACCACTAGAGATCCAAAGAGAATTTATTATTTATCTTTAGAATTCTTAATGGGTAGAGCTCTAGATAATGCTTTGATTAATATGGAAATTGAAGATAATACTACTGATGTTAATGGATCTAAGAAAACTGCCACTGGAAACACTAGAGATATGGTTAGTAATTCCTTAAATGAATTAGGTTTCAAATTAGAAGATGTTATCCAACAAGAACGTGACGCAGGTCTAGGTAATGGTGGTCTAGGTCGTTTGGCTGCTTGTTTCATAGATTCTATGGCTACTGAAAACATTCCAGCTTGGGGTTATGGTCTACGTTATGAATACGGTATCTTTTCCCAAAAGATTATCGATGGTTATCAAGTCGAAACTCCAGATTATTGGTTAAATTTTGGTAACGCTTGGGAAATTGAAAGAAATGAAGTTCAATTCCCTGTTACTTTCTACGGTTATGTCGATAGATCTGAAAAGAATACTTCTACTTTAGCACCATCTCAATGGATTGGTGGTGAAAGAGTTCTTGCCTGTGCTTATGATTTCCCAGTTCCTGGTTATAAGACATCTAATGTAAATAACTTAAGATTATGGAAGGCTAAACCAACAACTGAATTTGATTTTGCTAAATTTAACAGCGGTGATTATCAAAACTCTGTTGAACAACAACAACGTGCTGAATCTATTACAGCTTGTTTATATCCGAATGATAATTTTGAACAAGGTAAAGAATTGAGATTGAAACAAC